ACGCAATCGGGAAGGTCGTCAAATGATTTTTACAAGATAACTGCGCCGGAAAATACATGTAAAACGCAGTTAACTTGTAAAAATCATTTGACGATCTTCCCGATTGAGTTTTTAGCTGAATTTTTTTTTGGATAAACTATACTTGATGAAGAACAATTTATAAAAATTTCATCAAAAAATTCCACCAGGAAGACGGCCATGTATCAGTTGCTAACGGTACAAAAGTTCTTGTAAGCAATAGAGGAAAATTAAGATTTTTCTCTAATGACAAACATTCAACTACTCTTCTTATTCCATCTTTTCCTTTCAAACTCATGTCTGTTTCGTGCATCATTAAAGACCTACACTATGGGGTCGTTTGTTCTCCTAATGATGTCATATTTTAGGGCATGGCTTCCCATATGAAGATTGGTGAAGGGTTCCTCCTTGATGGGCTCTACCACGTATCCAAATTAAATCCGACCCTTTTTTGAGTCTCCTCACCATGTTTCCTTCCAAAACAAATCAAGATTTGTGGCATAAAAGACTAGCTCATCCCTCCAACCATATATTGTCTCATATATTTCCAAGTTTATGCCAAAAAACTAAAGAGTGTGAAGTTAGTTGCAAGTCTAAATCTGCTAGGTTACCATTTCCTAAATCCGAGTCTAGAACAAATCAGTCTTTTGAACTTGTACACTCCGATGTATGGGGACCTGCCTCAATGGAATTTTATGATGGTTATAAATACTTTGTTTCGTTCATCATTAATTTTCTCTCGCACTACTTTTATTTATCTGTTGAAATCAAAGACTAAAGTCTTATCTTCCTTTAATAATTTTCACAACATAAGACTGAACTTGAGAGGGGCCGAACATTATTCATGATTGCTTAATAAATCCCAAATTTTATGGGATACTACTGTACTTATGATTTGCTTGTCTAATTAACCTTTTTTGCACATGCATGTATATTAGGAAGGTTCAAGAGCAATAAACACACAACACAAAATTCCCTACTTTATTTTCATTCTTTTTTACTTCTTTGTAAGAACTGTTTATGTTCTTCACAGAATTCAAGAGTATATCACTTGTGCCTCCACATCACAATTTTTAAAGGAGGTTTGGCATTTGTTTCAAATACTTTGTTTCCAAATGTCTATTTGTATAAGATATTTAAATTAAATATTTTATCTCAACATGTTGACACAAAAGATAAATTATTAGCATTGACGCAAATACTCTTGATATTAAAAAACAAATGCTAGAACAAAATATGAAGAAAGAACTAAAGATAGATATCCTACACAATATCAAATTTTAGTTTCTAATGTCTGTTATTAATTTCTAATTTCAATTTACTCTGAATTCAATCCTCACCCGATTGATTGCCAATAATGTAACTGATATATCTTTCACATTATCCCAGCATGATGTTGGAAAAATGGTTTACAAATTAATATTTTGGTCACTTTGGAGCTAAAATATGTAAGAAGGACCCATTTCTCATAATTGATGAGACTAAGCCCTAACATATTATGAGGTGAATGTTTTGATATATTATTTATAGAAAAACATTTTGAAATGAAATGAAATAGGGTTCGTGTAGGACTTGTCCTGCACCGCCGCCTCCATACGGCCGGGTCGGGTTTCATGTTCGGGTCTTGATCCGCTTCGCTTGCCCACGTGTGGCTTAAAGATACTTTCCTATATTTTTATTCATTGATTTTTGGATATTACTTGGCAAAGAAACACAACTTTAAAAGAAAAGTCACAGCTTATATTCTAAAGGTGTCTTTTGAGAATGGAGTCTCCTAATTTGTCTGTGTTTTGATCAATCGGAAATTTAGAATTTTAACTTTATCTATTGTTCAATCCTCCATCAACGTTGCATCTTTGAGTTCGTCGGTGTGCTTCGGGATCGTACAAACCGTTCTATCCTTGGAGGCGATTGCTTCTTGTGTCGTGGACAAATTTATCTTTAAGAAGATGACGATTGGTTGGTCTCGATTTCATCCAAGTATTTCAATTTACTTTCATTTTTAATATTGCATGCATAATTTGGATTACACATTATTCTTATATTGTCATTTCTCTATGTATAAAAGTAATACCAGTATTAGATTATCCCCTACTCAATCTTCTTTGTGCCCTTCTTGTTGTACACACTTTTGTACACACTTTGTACATTAGTCTGTGTACACAGACAATTGGGAGACAAATGCTGCCTTTTTGTTAACGGACTCCCTGTGTGCACAGGCAAAATAGGGGGTGTGTACAAAAGTGTGTACAAAAGTGTGTACAAGTAGATTTTTTGATCTTCTTTTTATTAATCCACTGCTCAATCTTAAAATTTGTACCAATTACAATTATTCCGTATTACATTTGTCGGATCAATGAATAAGTAAATGGATAAAAATTAGACAGCAAATTAAAACCAAACTTCATTTTGAGCGGTGAATTGAGTAAATCAGGCAGTTGGTATATTATACATCCGGATGTGCGTAGGACATGGTACATCCGGCCCATCAGAAGTATTATAATGGACTCGAGCACTAAAAAACTACAGTAAACGATCCAACTAAGGTAGATAGCCCAATAACTAATATAGGCCAAAATTAATTCGGTGACATTTTTGTAATTTAAGTGAAAAATCACGGCTTCCGCTAAATGAGCAATAGTGTACCTTTAATGAGCATCAAATATATTTTATTGAGTATTTAAGAGACTAACAATGAGTATCACGATATCTACTTCATATCTTCTAATTCTTTTTTCTTTTTCTTATTTTTTCTTTTATAAAAACTTATTATATTATGACTCTAATACACACTTATTAATTTTAATATGCGAATCTAATGTAATATGATACTTTTGAAATATGCATTCATATAACAATTCAAAAATGAGCATAACATCAGTACCAAATGAGCATACATAACTTACAAAGTGTACATTGATATGAAAATCAAAAGGTTTGTTAGTTGAACATCATGACATTTTAATTGAGCTTCAAACATCCGCTATAATGAGATGAAAATCATGGTTTCTTGTGCATGAGCATTTATGAACATTTAATGAGAATAAGATCAGTACCAGATGAGCATATGTAACTTACAAAATGAGAAGTAATGAATTTGTAAGTTGTTTTGTTAGTTGAACATCACGATATTTTCATTGAGCATCAAACCTTCTCTATTGAAATCGATGAAAATCACAAGTTCTGTTAAATGAGTATTAATGAAATTTTAATGAGTATCAGACCTATACAAATGAGCACATGTAGCTTACAAGATGATCATTGATATTAAAATTGTAAGTTTTGTTCATTGAGCATCAAGACATTTTCAGTAAGCATCAAACCTTCGTTATTGATTATTAGAATCATTGAGTATCATGATTTGTGGTCTCGTGTCTATAATCAACATCTATATAAATCTAATGTAATATGAGACTTGAAATATGCATTGCGAACATTTTAAATTTTGAGCATAATAGAGATACTAAATGAAAATATATAATTTACAAAATGAGTATCCAAAAATTCAAAAGCTCATTTGTGTATATTCATTTTTTTAGGCATTTTACTTATTTGAGTTTAAAGTAAAATTCATTTCTAAATTGTTCAGTATTAATATATAAAGAAAAAGAAAGAAGTAAATAACAAATAAAGAAATCAAAAGAAGTAAAGAAAAAAGACAAAACAAAAGAAAGTAAAAATTAACGGTAAAAGTAAAAAATAAAATAAAAAAGAGTAACAGTCATGAATGAGCATGGCATGAGTATGGCGGCAGAAGAAAAGACAGAAAAGGGAATGGCTGCAGGAGTGGAGAGAAAAGAGAACGGCGGCGGAGCAGGAAAGATGATGGAGAACATCCGTATTCAACGAGAAGATAGATCAGAGAGCAAAGGTTTAAAGTTTCTAAAAATTACAAAATAATCGGGTGTACACGTACACCCGGGTGTAGGATATAATTTGCGGTAAATCAGGTCAGCCTAGTTGAAATTAAATTAGATAAAATAATTTGGTGGTTTTGGATGGACCTACTTGAATATATAACGATTAGACAGATTAAAATTAAAGCATCTTCAATCATTCATTTGGAGGACTTACTTGTAATTCAAAACAAATAATTTACCATTGAAACGTTGTTTTTCCTTTTATCTAAGAAAACTAATTACTCGAAATGAGCTACTAGCTTGACGAAGAAGAATTATTAAATATTTCCTCCATCTCATATAACTTGGTCGAAATTCCTTTTTCGGCCATCCCAAAAACTTTTTTATTTCCATTTAAAGTAACAAATTATATGTTGCTAAAAAAATTCTCATTTACACAAATATCAATGATATAGTCTTTACTATTTTATGTGCAAGTCAATTTTAATCAATTTCTATTATTAATAATAAATAAAGAAGAATAAGTTACTACCTCCATCCCGAAATAATCGTCCTGTTTTGACCTTTACACAGATTAAGAATGTGAAGTTGACTTCACACTGTAGCGACACTATTTGGCACTGTAGCGACATTGTTTGACACTGTTTTGCACTGTTTGATACTGTTTTGTATAGATTTGTTTACCAAATAAGGAAAGGGGACAATTATTTCAGGACGGATCAAAAAGGAAAGCAGGACAATTGTTTCGGGACAGAGGTATATCCTAACTCATTGCATTTTACTTTGAAATTAATTTTGCTACAAATGCTTACGTGACTAATCAAGACATAAGGGTAATTAGCTAACCGCAGGAGATTTAGTGAAAGTTTATTAAAATGTAAAAGTTAAAATTATTTATAAGGAGCATTTATCTCTAACAAGCTCTAATTCATAAGTTTTCTAAAATGAAGTTTTTTAAATCTAGATTCTTATCATTATATAATAAACCAAGAATATATCAAAAAAAATCTAGAAGAGTTATCAAGCTTAATTCTTGTCGGAATTAAAATTAAAAGACTATAAATTCAAGGGTTTCAACTATAAATACGCAGTTGGTGGAAAAGAAATACAATGTATATACAAAAAACTACCGACTAAAATTTCACACACGTCCAGTATTTCGCGGGCCTGATCGGTTAAACGGTTTTTTCTCTGTTCCTTCTACATTGCCATCTCACTGTCTTCTCTCTCACTTCCCGGAGGAGTACGGCGGCGATCAGTCAGGAAACGGAGATGAATTCTTCAATCACTTATCGTCGTCTCCGCCCTCAACGACGATTTGATCATTGACTCCTTGAGGTTAATCTTAGCGACGGCATTTTGTTATTTTTGTCCATATCACGTTTGAAGAATTGAATCAGATTATACGCTTTCATTTATCATACCTAAGATGAATGCGGTCATATTCATAAGAGTTAACCAGGAATGAACTTTAAACACAATGTTCACCCGACCTGCTAGCTACTAGCTAGATTCATATAGACGTATTGAAAGAATCTTCGGATTATGTGCGTTCTATTTCATCATTTCATGTAATGTATTCCTCATAGGATTTTGTGCAGTAAACTTCTTTGTTGCAGCAGGAGGTTAATTATTCATTGATAGCTTGGTTGATCTGAATTGATAAAAGGGGAAACGGGAGGAAAAAATGTCTAGCTATGAAGGTGTTCTAGTTTCTGATCCATGGCTTCAGGGTCAATTTACTCAAGTTGAGCTGCGTGACCTCAAATCCAAGGTATATCCAATAAAACGATTCTTAGTTCAATTTTATTTCTACCCTTTTTTTGTTAAATATCCGACCTTTATTAGAGATTGAGGTTGAAACTCCCACTCTTACATGTGATTGGCCTTCTCTTGAACGAGTACTGATTCCTGAAATGTTTATCCTCATATCAACTTCCTATATTAAAGTCCTTGCATGGGATTCTTATTATAATGTCACTAATATAAAAGTCATGAACAAAAATATGACTATGTTCAGAAATGGTGAGATGTAGAAGAAGTTCATACTTTTGTCCACGGGTTTTCTTCAGTAATATATTTTTCATCATTTGTTCTTTTTATTTTATGTATTTTTATGTGGTTATTGATGGTGAGCCCTGAACTTTTTTTCGGTGTAACAGTTTCTTGCAGCAAGAAACCAATCACAGACAGTTACTTTGGGAGATCTGCCTACAATTATGACCCAACTGAAGGCCTTTAGTAATGTGTTCAGTGAGGGGGAAATTAAAGCCATGTTGTCTGAATCATCTTCTGAAATGAAGGAAGAAATTGATTTTGAATCCTTTCTTCGGGTGAGTATGAAGCGACTCTTAGTACAAGTAGTCGATAATAGATCCATGATAGGCTTTCTTGTATTCATGTCATTTTCATTAAATAAACTCTCTATTATGTTGTTCATGAGGCCCCAAAGGGCTGATTTGTTTTGGACAGGCATTTCTGAATCTTCAGGCAAGAGCTCCAACTACATCAGGCAATTCTAAACTTAAAACCACCACCTCTTTTCTCAAAGCTACCACAACAACACTTCGCCATACCATTAGTGAATCAGAGAAGGGCTCTTACGTGGCACACATAAATGGTTTTCTGGGAAATGATAAATTCTTGAAAGATTACCTTCCGTTGGATCCATCAACCAATGCGATGTTTGAACTTGCTAAGGATGGTGTTCTTCTGTGGTAAGGAAGAATCTCTAGCTTAACATCTCGTTACATACCCTAGCGGCTATTAGCACGCATGATTGTTATTCCTTTAATCATTTGGTATTATGCAGTAAGCTCATTAATGTTGCTGTTCCCGGAACAATAGATGAACGAGCCATTAATACCAAGAAGTTTCTTAATCCGTGGGAAAGAAATGAAAATCATACACTCTGCCTCAATTCTGCAAAGGCCATTGGTTGCACAGTGGTCAACATTGGTACACAGGATCTAGCTGAAGGGAGAGTATGTCAAGGCTAATTTCTAACTATTTTCCTAGTACAATCTTTTATACGTCTTTGCCTTCAACATAAAATCTGATGGAATTCTTCACCCTTTCTTATGGTTGTTTTTTACTAGCCGCATCTCATCCTTGGATTGATTTCTCAAATAATCAAGGTATGCTCCTACTCCAAATTATTTGAGAACTGATGAACTACTGAAGTTTAATCAGCTGTCAATGCACTTAAGTCTCTTCATTTTTGTTTCTGATTACCAGATACAACTCTTAGCTGATCTCAATCTGAGGAAAACTCCACAACTTCTGGAGTTGGCAGAGGATAGTCAGGTTGCTAGTCACTGATTGATTTTCTTTGGTTTATTATACCATTGTGGTCAAATAATGCATTACATTGATAACAGGTTGGTATAATTAAAAGTGAAATTTGCAGGACGTGGAAGAGCTCCTCAGCTTATCTCCTGAAAAAGTTTTGCTTAAATGGATGAATTTTCATCTGAAAAAAGTTGGCTACAAGAAGCAGGTCACAAACTTCTCCTCTGATTTGAAGGTGAGGTGTTTCAGTCTAGATGCTTGTAAAGTTATACTGCTTGTATTGAAAAGAAATATATACTCCAAGGATGAGTCGTAATAGTTATAATCAATATGCACATATTTCTGGAGTTCTTGTGGATATAACTCAAGAGCTTTGTGGTGTACCACTGTACCTATATGAATTCAAAAGTTGATTAATCTGCTGTTTCTGTACCTATAGGGGTACATATAAAAAAACTTTTGGGTAAGAAATAGAACTGCTTGAAAACCCTTGATTCTTGAATGATAATTCTCAAGTCCTCGCCAATGAACTTTGAAGTTCAACAAAATACATTAATTTACACATTTCCCGTATAAAAACGCTTGTTAACTATGTGGCAGAAATGCTGGAATAATACTTCTAGGATATACTCCTAATAATCTATTCTATTGGCAGGATGGAGAGGCCTATGCTCACTTGCTTAATGCTCTTGCACCAGAACATGGAACAAGCAGCACACTTGATGCAAAGGATCCTACTCAAAGAGCAAATTTGATTCTTGAGCAAGCAGACAAATTGGATTGTAAAAGATATGTTACGGCAAAGGATATTGTCGAGGGATCAACAAATTTAAATCTTGCATTTGTTGCTCAGATATTCCAACGAAGGTCAGATGATCTTTTTCAAACTAAATCCTTTAAATCAGCCTCAGGAGTGAACACTCGTTTATCAACCAGAAAAATTATAAGATTGTAAGAAAAATAAATTTATTTTATCACTGAACATGACTTTACCTGTTTATTTAGGTAAGTTTGTACGGAGTGGAAATATTCCGTTATTGGTCCCCTACATTTCATTTTTTCTACTTTTGGTGCACAGCTATTTTTTTTTTTTCACTTTTGGTCCCCCAATACAAAGCTGGGCAATTTTCACAAAATTCGCAATTGGTAAGTGACCGGAAAGGACCAAAAGTTGCACGAATTCACAGCCGTACCCCAAACGTGGGACCAAATTTAATCTGGCTACCAAAAGTTGAAATGACCTTAGAATCAAGGGACCAAATGGGAGTGCTTCCTTTGTGGAATCATATGATTATTTTTCCTTATAACATGTTTGGTTTTATACAAATCATTTCTATGTTCATCTCATTTTAGTACGGAGTATAATACTTGATTTGGCTTCAATTGTTGATGACAAGATGCATGTGTGGCTTTGTATTGCAGGAATGGGTTATCCGTAGAAAACTCAAAGTTATCTTTTGCCACAATGATGACCGACGATGATCAAACTTCAAGGGATGAAAGATGCTTCCGGTTGTGGATTAACAGTCTTGGAGTTGACACATATGTGGACAACTTATTCGAGGATGTTCGGAATGGGTAACTATGGTTACATGCCTCTTGTTGCTGCGAATAATAATTTGAGTTAGTAAGCCTTATAATACACAACACACAGGTGGGTTCTATTGGAAGTGCTTGACAAAGTTTCATATGGATCAGTTAACTGGAAGCAAGCCACTAAACCTCCAATCAAGATGCCTTTCCGAAAAGTTGAGAACTGCAACCAAGTTATTAGGATTGGAAAGGAATTAAATTTCTCTCTGGTAAGTGTACAAGGAAATGATATTGTGCAAGGAAACAAGAAGCTCATATTAGGTAAACACATTCTCCTTTCGTCTCCCAATGGTGAATGAGGAGTTATTTTACTTAATTATTCTGATTCTTTTCTGGGGGGACAAATTTTGCGGCCAGCTTTTTTGTGGCAGTTGATGAGGTTCAGTATGCTCCAACTTTTGAAGAACTTGAGATCTTACTCTCAAGGTAAGGAGATAACCGATACTGACATACTAAGTTGGGCAAACAGAAAAGTGAAGAGTGCAGGCAGGAAAAGGCAAATGGATAGTTTCAAAGTATGTACAAACCTTAAAATGTGATTTCACACATCACTTTCTATTTAAAGAAGCACACAATTATTAATTTCGCTGTGATTGCTGCAGGACAAAAGTCTTTCAGATGGACTGTTCTTTCTTGAACTTTTAAGCGTTGTGGAGCCAAGAGTTGTAAACTGGAGCCTCGTCACCAAGGGGATAACAGGTAAAACATCTTTAAACAACAGCTTCATTATTTTTCTATACAAGGCATATATCACATTTTACATCTTCATAGTTTATTTTTAAACCTGGAACAAACACAGTAAGTGTTACACTTTGGCAGATGAGGATAAGAAGCTAAACGCGACATATATCATCAGTGTTGCACGGAAAATCGGATGCTCAATTTTTTTGTTGCCAGAGGACATAATGGAGGTAGTTAAGATGTTGTATTCGTCGTCTTCTTCATGAATAATTAGAGTATAAGCAAGTGCACACATACATATGCATTTGTGTTTGTTTTCTAAACATAGTTAGAAATGCACTGCTGCTATAAATGTGACCCCTTTGGAACAGGTGAATCAGAAAATGATTCTGACATTGACAGCAAGTATAATGTACTGGAGCTTAGAGAAGAAAGCAAAGGAGTCCGAGAGCGGTTCATCCTCTCCTATGCAGAACAACAATGAGCAGTCTCCTACTTCCACAACAACTAAGGAATTATCCTAAACAGAAAGTAAATAAATTCATCTTTTTTATATAATATTCGCTCAACACATCATATCTTGATGTGTAAGCTACAATCTACATCATTGCTAGAATTTGGCCCAACAAAATTGATTGACAACAAAGAACGCTGCAAAATTGTATTTCATTAGTGATTCCAGATGCTCTCCAGTCTCCACATGTGAAAAAAAAAACGGTATTTGAATTCCTCGAAAAAAACTCCCACATCACCATTCAATATATTGGCCAAACCACCTGGGCACTAGGCCCAATATGAGTTGGATCACTGAGCCACACTTCATAATTGGAAAAACGAGCACCATGAAACACAGAACATGATAATCCTTTGTTACATATACATATGGTGAACATATATGTGTGTGGGTGTATGTTTTCTAATTGCATCTTTTTTCCCTTCAGGGTTAAAATGCTACAATGTATATTTTATTGGGTTCTCATGTAGATGAGACTCATGAGAGGAAAGATGCTGATATGAATATACTGTGTAAACATTAATTTTGACTGATCCCCTAATGTATTTGGTGTTTTACTTGAATTCTGAATGATGGTAAATGATACAATGAATTATATATGAGGGCCACGTATTCACTCACTCACCAGGGGTTGACGAGATTATTTGGTTCACCAGTGATATGATACCATTACGGCCTGTTTGGATAGAGTGTTGGAAGGTGTTAGTAATGGAAGTGTTAGTAAGTGTTGGCAAGGGCCCGTAAGGGATGGTAAGCGTAAGTGTTAAACACAAATTTACCTTGTTTGGAAGACTTAAAAAACCGAAGTGTTAGTAATGGAAGTGTTTGTTCTTAATTTGACAAAAATATCCCTACAACTTTTAAATTAATAAGGACGAAGTATCTTTGTTGTTCTCTAGTTTTCGGTATTCACAGAACATGATACCAGGCTCAAACAAGAATCAAGTATCGTATTTGGGATGAGGTACAACATCTCTATGGATGAGGTCCTCCAGCTGTAATTTTATTCTCATCCGTTGTTTCCTAATAGAAGCAGGCCATCCAAAAGTATCTTGCATTTCTTCTGCAACTCCACTAACCTCCTATGGATGTCAAGAGTATCCTTCTTCATGACCTTCCACTAATCTATATATAATCAACACAAATCAAATATTTCCAGATCTGATTCCTCTACGACGAACAAGACCAAGATGTAGTATTAAAACAGAGTGGGATGGTACGATATTGCGTCGTCTCAACGGCCAGTTGATGCCAAAAAGAGACTTGGGAAGAAGAAGAGGTAAACTGAAGAAGGAGACCGCTGCGAAAGAAGAAAATAGCCGCAAGAGGGAACGTGCAGGAATAAGCAGAGAGTTTGAATATACAGTACATAGCATATTGAAATAAAAAGGGTAAAGATTGTCCAACACTTCAAAACACCCCAAATTGGAGTGTTAAAAAAGTGATAAATATAGGTGTTAGGAAGGTTATGTTTAACACCCTCAAACACTTGCTAGCACTTCTATTTTTTTTTTAACTTTTGCCCCAAACAAGTGTTAAACTAAACATTCTTTAACACTTCCATTACTAACACTTCTAAACACTTCATCCAAACAGGCCGTTAGAATCTTTCAATAGTGTGTTAGGATGTTTTTACTTGGACTGTAATTTGGTGGTCTGGTCTGATCTGGTCTGGACTGGTCTGGTCTGGTTTCTTTGTATTTTTATAACTATCCAAGTCTGGTCTGGTCTGAACTGGTCTGGGACGAATTACAGTCCAAGTAAAAACATCCTTACTGGCCGGCTACATACATTACATCATCTGGTAAGAACAATAATTCATCATTATATTAACTTTATCTTAAGGATATCAAAAACTTTGTTATCAAATACCCAACAATGAAATTAGAACCACACAAACGTGTTTTACTTTAAATTAGGGGTGAACTCAGTCCGGTACATTAGGACAGGCCTGTTCTGGGTCACATAATAGGGGTACTGGAACCTAAACCACTGGACTCGGAGCGGATCTTTAAAACCATTAGCCCAACTTTTCGAAAACAACAGAGACACAAACCAGTCTAGTCCTACTTTGGAAGAACCAGAACCTGATTGGACCAGTTCAGGATCAGTCCAGTTTTTTGCGAAGAAACAACCAGGACAGGTCCGGGTCCACACCTACTAAAATAGTCTTTGGGACATAGGAGCTAAACACGCTGCCATACTTATCCAACCACTTTGCACAATGCCACTATGCCAGCGCTACTTTATAGATGTGGATAAGATCAATCCTTTATATTTGTTCTACATTTCCGTATACTTTTCAGAGAGATTAACAAGGGCAGGCATACCCATTAAGAATGAATGAATAAATAGAGTAGTAATTATGAACTCACTGTAAAACATTAATTCGAGCCTACTATAGAGAAACAGCTTCAATCCCATTATCATTCAGCACCACTGATCCCATCCTCTCGTGTTCAGATGCCAAATGCATAAGCATCTCAAGACGCTTATCAAAAATCAAAGCACTCTCATCTCTTTTGTCCAGCTCAGCAGCTTCAGCTTCAAGCCACTTCTCTCTCAAATCATCCAGGACATTTGCACCTTCAGCCAGTGTGCTTATCTCAGCTCCCGGTGCACGCGGAGCAGAGGTGCGGAGTGTGGAATTCCCAGAAGGCGGTGGCAAGGTCAACAGCATAGCCCTAAACTCCAGCATCTCCGCGAATATCTCAAAGTTACAAGCCATTACATCAAGACAATACTCCCGTATCTTCAACACTCCATACCTGTTGGATGGGCCGGATTAAAAGAAAAATCAGTTCAACGTGTCTCGCCCCAATTTAAACAACTTACAACAGAAATGATTCTCCAAATAATTTATCGCGTATACAAACAGAACATGAAGTTGACATCAAGTCTGAAGCAAAACCAATAGAATGCTAAGTAGTATATATGCGCACACATGCAAGTAGGGCACTCGAAAAAATGTGTGCATAGCAATAAGAAAAATATGTACTACCTGTAACATAACCCTATAAAAGCCAGTTGCTTTTTAAACATGCTGCCTGTACGGACCCCATATCAATAAGAATTCATATACGCATCTAAAACCTTAACTTGATTCCAATACATAATTTATAAATTAGGCTTAGGAATAATTTTCAAACCTTAACTTGCTTTTTGCTTGAACATAAGAGAAAGAAATACATACATGTCTGACAATACCAGCCAACGGCATAGGTCAGCAGGAGGCACCATTTCCAGATGTGGCAGCAAAGCATCTGCTACTGCACGCTTAAGAGGAAATAACAAGTATCTTGAAGCAGCATCAAACAATTCTTCAGCCTGATTAATCAAATTATATATAAGCACTAATTGTATGAGAAAAAGAAGCACACTAATGATGGCTACAAAGTTTAACAGCATACCTGATCTGGATCTATGTCCTTCAAGCAATCTGTATACCTGTTAAGAGAAAATTGTATTAATTATCATCTCTACAAATAGAAACACGCGGGAAATAATGTACTATAATCGCAGTATTAAAATTTTTTCTAATTAAACCTTTAAAAGAAGGTTATGGCAGAATGATATCTGGCATAAAACCTTCTGTGTGCTTTTTTACATGATTGTGTAGTATATACTACTAATTTTAAATAACTATTATTATTGTTATAGCCACTATAAGAGGCTGTCTGGTAAACCCCATTTTCATCAAACACTAAGTTACTACTTAGTCATGTGTTGGTATTTGGTAATTAAAAAAATGTGCAAGAGTTATATTATTGGTTGAAGTGGCCGAAACTGACTAAAATGGCATTTCAATCTTTATTTTTTTCATTATTTTATTCAAGAACTATATTTTAAACATTGTTTAGATAATTCAACCGATTCAGTCACTTCAGCCATTTTGGGCCTAACCGAATGGGCTTGAAATTTCATGTCCCCAACCCAAGTAGTTAGTTTGCTGTAGTGGGGAAAAATAACAGAGTAACAACTTACATATACTCTATCATTTTCTCAAAAGCTCCGCCACTTGAGTCATGTTCCTCGAGACACAAAATTGTACTATCAGGTAAGCCATTACTTCCTTCAAGGAAGTCCTTCATGCGAGATAACCTTGCCTTAAAATACTCAGACCTTGAAGCTAAAATTACTTGATGGCACCGAAAAACCTTCCCTTCAACTTTCACACAAACATCTGCAAGATCATCATCTTCAGAGTCATCAATCATCTGCTTAGAATTGGAAAGAGATGTTTGGAGTATGCGATGCAATGCAGTTGAGAGACGGTTTTCTTCTGGAAGTGAAAGTCCCTGCAAAATAAACCGCTTTTGAGAGTTATCTATATCTCTGACGGCTTTATAGTCAGCATATCTTTGATGAATCTGCTCTTTCTCTAGGAGAATTTGCAAGGACTCGCATTTGCAGACTTTGCAAATCCTGACAAGATCTTCCATATCATCTACAGCTATCTCAAGTCTGTCAGAATAAAAGAAGTGGATGAGGCTGTAGAGAGCAGGATATGAGAGCTTTTCCCTTGAGAACCGGATTTCTTTGCGATCCTTCCACTCTGTTTGAAACTTTTTCTTGAAAAAGGGTGACCTTGCACTCAAAATGACTCTATGAGCTTCAATGGGCTTCCCTTGCAAATAAAACACAACATCTGGTGGAAAGTGGGTGGAGCTGAAACCTCCTCCATTACCTGTTAGATAATTTTAGTATACAATATTTCAAGTGCATTAGTTGATCTAATAAGAATGAAATAGTCTGGAACAAGCATAATTTACAACAAATTCCAATATTGCAAGGAATTTAGGTTTCATATGGTAATGTTTTTGTTTCCTGGTTTCTATTTTCGTTTTCACTTTTTTCAAATCAGAAACAACAAATTGCGTGATTGTACATAGAAGAATATTCTGAAAGAAAAAAACAAAATCAGAATCTAGAAAATGCCACTCCGTATGATACAAAAATTTCATTTACAGAAAGACATTTCCTGTTTTGACACCCGTCATAAAACATCTGGATATTATGTAAAGTTGAATACTTTCATAACGAATTATATACTCGGAATATATACACAGAACAGATCTACCAAACACGTTTCTATATAATTTGAATGTATGAAAACAAAACAAAATAAAAAAGAACACAAATTTTCAAAGCATACAGACATGTTTTATATGAATAGAATTTCTGAAAATCAAACAAAAGAAAACAAAACAGAAAATAACAAAACGTATAACTTTACCAAACTAAACCTTAGCTACACGAGTCCTTGAGAGTTTGAGGCAGTGAATATTCAATGAAACTCTCATGAATTTATGCATTTAGTACACATTCATGTGTTGAAAAGTCTCAAACGGAACAATTTTGTAATAAAAGAAACCTCTCAGACCATTTACAGAAAATTCATACACCCATTTCATAAAGTCATTCCCCATCTCCAGTTGAGAACGCCACTGTGGCACTGAGGTAGCCCGTAGTTTGTCATGCAAACACAGACTTTTTGTGGGCAAGAAGAATGTAAAAGCAAAACTATAAAGTGTTTTTACTTTTTATCGCTCTTAGATATATATAAAAGTACCTCTTCTAGTCTCTAGGTGGTATTCCTAGTACACAAAAAGCACATTTAACCTTAATTAAATTTCATGTGTGGAGCAATACGTTATTCTTTATGTATACTTTGTTATAGTTTCAGCAAGTTAAGACCTTTAAAATGTAGTTTTTTTACGAGGATATAAGGTGTTGTTTGGATATCATTTGTTCCACATAGTGCAATACCATTCCTTTAAAGAGAGTAAAAAAATCCAACTTGTGGAATTTACAGGCCTTGGTGAAATTACCTGCAATTGACGAGTCAGAAGCCTCAGATTTTTGTTCAGCTGCATATCCGCAAGCATTGGCGGAGCATCCCAAGAAGGTTTCCCTGAGGGCGGCCTGCAGGGGGGCGAGAGGGGGAGGTCGAGCCTCAAAGGCCTTGAGGAGCTTCCGGACCTTTAAATTGAGGGCGGCGTAGTGACACCGGTCGCCGTCAAATGTGTGTTCCGAGCAAATGGCGCCGCTTTCCAGGAGCATCCTGGCTGCGTCGAGGTGACCGGTGAGGCAGGCGTAATAGAGTGCAACGGAGTCCCACTGGTCTCTGTCGTTAATGTTGACGCCGGACTCGAGCAGGTAACGGAGGCGTTCGACGTCGCCGGCCCTAGAAGCCTCGAAAACATCTCCGTATGGTACTTTCCTCAGCGGTACTGAAGACTCGAAGTCCTCCAGTTCTGGATCAATGTCGTCCAAATCAGACATGGATATATGGAGAAGATAATTTGTGTTTTTCATTCGGCATAGCACCTCTCCATGTTCTGCCTTTCTGGTTCTTTACGCTTATTAGACTAAAAAAACGATGTTTAGGATGTTTTTGTTCATATCGTCTGTTCAAGGCCTTTGTTCATCATGCGGTCATGCCATTTCAGCTGGACGGAAAATTTTCAAAATTCAGCCCATAGATATAAAATTTAGTCAATAATTTGATCTGGTGAGGTAAAATTTGATTTGATCAGGACTGAATAAGACCAAATAAAAACATCTTAAATAAAACATTTATCAAAACATGTCTAAATTTATTGTTATAGTCACTACTCACTACACTTAATATATACTCCCTCCGGTTCTCAAAGAGATTCACAATTTGAATTCACCCAGATTAAAAAATAAATTTGACTTTATTGTGGACTGCACTGTTTGGCACTGTTTGAACATTGTTTGGCACTGTTTGACAGTGTTTTGCACTGTTTTGGTGTAGATAATTTGCCAAATAAGGAAATAATAAGAAGTGTGAAGTATTTTTTAGCACCCGATGGAGTATTTTTTAGCAAAAAAACATTTATTTTAAGCACTACATTTAGAAGTTTGTCAAAAAAAATATTACCTCCGTCCCAAGATACTTAACCAAATCTTAAAACATGGATCATGATTTTGATTAGTATAATGTCAAAAAAAAATATAAATTTCATGTTTTTATGAAAATATGTTTAACAAAAAAAAATTTCAGATCATTTTTATATTATAAATATTTTTCAATAGATATAATTGGTCAAAGTTTTGAATTTGACTAAGTATTTTGGGATGGAGGTAGTACTTTCAATAGGTTGTGGGTATATATTAAGGTTTTAAACTAATCAAATATATTGTTGTTGGTTGTTAGATGTTGATTGATTGTGTTAGCTGATTGGTGATAGCGGATTCTATTAGTGGCACTAGCACAAAGGAGAGCGGAACTTGAAGAGCGAAGCGAGCCAAAGGAGATGGTCGAATGATCGCTTATGGAGGAGGCATGTGTCCTCTCGGTCGTTTCGCCCTGCCCTTGAACGATAGAAGAACTACTTGTCTTCATGGTGTTTGGTTAAATGATTGTTTCACAATCAGCTGATAAACATGTTAAATGGCTTTTATGGACATAAACTAATTTTTTTACTATTGTAATTAATAAAACTACTTAAAACGTTTTTATACTTGAGAAATGTAGTAACACAGTTTATGATTACTTTTCTTTCGCAAATTAATAAATTTCAGATTACAGTCCTCAAGTTGGATAGTCCTAGTGCACTTCCATCCTCCATTAATGGGGAATTCTAAGGGCCTGTTTACTAACATAGATATTTTCCTGTTTTCTACTTCTGTTTTTTGTTCTCCAATTTTCTGTTTTTATTTTTCAGTTTTTCTATATCCAGTTTTCTGTTTCTATTTTCTAGTTTTCCATTTTCAAATCTGAAAACATGTTCATCAATTTTTTCACCCAGTTCTGTGATCATCCATAAGACTGACACGTTTACTTCACAGATTACTAAATGGGGCTCATTAAGACTCGTGTTAATAACCGACGCATAAAATAGCAATGTTATAGGATCATGTTTACTCCAAAAGGTTTAAAACACCGCTTAACATTAAAATGTCCAAAATAACTTTATACATATATAGACACACAAACATTCATGAACACAAATGTATAACATGCAGGGTCAATCACATAATACGTGTACTGATACTCATAACCCCTACCCTGCCCCTATACCTCGTACCCTCACCCTACATCCCACACCCAATTCCACACCCTTGACCCCTACCCATACCCTTACCATGATCTTACACTCTACCCATACTCTCATAAAACCTTTCATACCCACCCATACCTACTCGTAGGGGTCGGGGTAGGGAAGGAAGGTATGGGTTGGGGGGTGGGGGTGGGGTAAAGGTAGGGGTAGTGAGTAGGGTTGGGGTTGGGGTTAGGTAGGTGTAGGGTAGGAAGTTGGGATAGAATGGTGGTAGGGTGGGGTTGAGGTGGGGGAAGGGGTAGGGTGGGGTAGGATGGCGGTACGAGGGTCGGGGTAGGATGGCGGTAGGGTGGGGCCGAGGTAGGGGGCATGTGGGAAGGGGTAAGGTAGGGTAAGGGGTAATATACAAGGTGGGGGTAGGGTAGGGTGGGTCGGGGTGGGGTTGAGGTGGTAGGGGGTGGCAGTAGGGTAGGGTGGATCGGGGTGGGACCGAGGTAGGGGCATGTGGTAGGGAGTGGGGGTAGGGTCATTGTAGGGAAAAAGGTGTGCGGGTGAGGGTGGGTGGGTAGGGTAGGGTAGGGGTAAGGGGTAAGGTACGAGGATGGAGGTACTAGAATGGAATTGACATTGAAGCGGGACCGGACCCACCACTAGGTGTAAGTATGCAAATCATTGCAGCGGCATGTAGCATTTGTGTTTTCTAAATTTGGAAAACTAGTAAAAGTCGATTCTCCAAATCATTAAGGAAAAGAGAGACATGTCTCAATTTTTTCGTTTTGGAAAACGGTTTGGTAAACGCGTTTTCCTGTTTTCCTTTCTCCATTTTTTCAGCAATTTTCTTTGGTAAACACGTTTCCTGTTTTCTGTTTTCTAGTTTTCCAGTTTTCTGGAAAACTTGAAAATATCTCTGTTAATAAACAGACCCTAAAACTCCCAAATGCCCAAATAGAAACTACTTTTACCGTACAACAAGGATCAAACATTGAGCTAAGAATAATGAGTACTAGCACGGCACAAAGCAGCCGTCGTGGCTGAAAGCAATGCAAAAATCTATATATAGAAAAATGGTTATACAACACCCACAATCTTACTCTATATAAAACGAAGTGGAAATGCAGCCACTTTTCCCACCCAAAGTTTCGGGTCAAAAATGGGTCAAAAGTGGACAATTCGTTTTTGTGGTCTGGGGCCCACTTCGGTGTGACATTTCGTACTATTAGGGTCATTCGAATTGCAGAGAGGAGTTATTAAGCATTTAATGAATTAGGTGGCATTAAATGGGGTGGTTGAGAGGGGCGAGGTCTATTACACATTGGGTATTTCAGTTTCATTGCAAACCCTAAAAATTCGAATTCCCTATAAATACCAACATGTTTCAGTTCAAAATTACAAACCACAATGGCATCTAGCAAAGAAAACTCCGAGCCAAATGGCAGTCAATTGTATTCGATGATTAGGGAAGTTAACCACATCAGAACAAACTGGGCTCTAAAAGTAAGGGTGTTTAGAGCATGTGAGGTTTCACATCAATCCAAAGGAGGTGCAAGAATGGAATTTGTTTTCCACGATGAGAACGTAATTTCTATTTCGAAAGCATTTTAATTTATTATTAAACTCCTTTTTGTGGTTGATTATTCGAGTGATCATCTTCCTAATCCATTTTCCTTTCATTTTGCAGGGTGACCGCACTCATGCTGTTGTGAAAAGGCCATTCATGCATTTGTATAAAAACAAACCGCAGGAAAACAAGTGTTTCAGAATCAAGAACTTCTTAGTTTTTGATAACTACTTCAACTACAAAACTACTGAACACCCTTATGTTTTAGAGTTTTTTTAAAAAACTATGGTCTATGATTTGCATTCAGCAACTTTTCCAAACTTAGTGTTCAATTTCCATCAATTTGACGCGCTGCAGAGTCTAAGAGTCATCAACGACAAATTGCTTATCGGTAATTTCATATACAAATATACTTAAACACTTTCTTATAATCACACAATTTAATATCATTCTTTTTTCAGATGTATATGGTAAGTACGTCGGGAAGACTCCAGTACAAACACCAATCGTTAACGGGAAACCAGAAAAGCTGATTGAACTAACTTTGGAAGATCTAGAGTACTGTCTTAATTTTGTATATGATATTGTATTCGTTTATCATAAAAATCGAGAGTTTATGATGAAACTCTTTTTTATTTGTAGTGGAAATCGTATTGGATGCACATTGTGGAACAACTACTGCAAACAGTTCACTGATTTTTATGATGCTCATAACAATGAAGCCATTTACATCATACTACAAATGGGTAGACCCAAACGCTATCAAGGTAAGGACTAATTCAAAAAAACTTAAGTTTTTTATTTAGGCTTCAAATGGGCTCATGAAAGATTTCAAACTTATTCAGGTCATGTCTTGGTTGGAACATCTTATGATGTTTCCAAGTTGATAATAAATGGTTCTACCCCAGAGTTTGAAGATTTCAAATCGCAGTTTGGACCAGATGACGACAATACAACAATGACTACCTTCACTGCAAATTCAGTTGGTTAGGGTAGTGAGGACGTTTTTAGGGGAAAGGCTACTATCACAAACATCAGTGATTTGCTAGAGGAACCACAAGTAAAAAGATGATTTAAAGCAAAGAATTTGTAAAAAAATGATCATCTTTTGTAACTGACAGCTTCTGTACACAAGATGGAACCTATTGGCTACTTGGTGATATTGTATCACTAGACAACTATAAGGAATGATGCTACCTTAGCTGCCCAACATGCAACAAGAAAATCAAGCCGGAAGATGAAAGGTTCAGATGCATCACATGTGACACGACTATTCCCGATGGAGTGTTGAGGTTGTGTTATTTGTTAAGATGTATCACTTTCCACTATTTTAAACTAAGACTACAACTTCAAACATTAATCTGCCAACTTCCGGTATGCAGATACAAAGTTTCAGTTTGTGTCATGGATGACTCAGGTCACGCTACGTTCACCTTATGGGACAGGGAATGTATTGATATTGTGGGGAAAACAGAAGCAGCATTAAGAAAGGAAGTTGAAAAGGTTGATTCAAAAAAAATCTTTTTACACTAACAATTCTGAAAAAGGAAGGAAACTTATCAAGATTTTTATTTTCAGAAAACTGGAGACCCTACCCACTTCCCAGAGGACATTGAGGCTTTGATTGATCAAAGAGGCATCTTCAAAATTCAAATAAAAGCAAGAGACGAAAGTTCTTCTTACAAAGGTCCAGTTTCGTATGGGATACTTGCAATGATAAGAGACAGATCTATCTTGGACCTCTATACCAAAAATGAAAGCTATGCACTTGAAATGGATGAAAACACAGATGTAGAGAAGGTAAATGTTTTGAAATGTTTGATTTGGTGTGGACAGCATAATATAACATTTGTTATAAGTGCAGAGTGGATCAACAGGAAACGAGATAGAAGATGGTACTGCTAGCAGTAAATCAAAACAGAAGGTGTGGATAAACTTTCCTATTAACTAATTTCGTTGTATCATATGATACTAATTTATTTGGTATAGAGACTGTTCTAATTGAAGATGACGATTTCGTGTCGCCTACACAAGTTGAAAACAAAGATGACAGGAGGGCGGATGAAAAGGTATATGATGTTATCAAATTCTTTTTTGATAGAGTGGAATTTGTTTTCCACGATATAGAGTCAAGTAACGAGGCAATGGATACAAATTGTTTCTCGAAAGGGTAAGGAAGTGGATTGCCTAGAAACTCCAACAGCTAATCGGACAGTTGGTGGTATTGAAGGGAACGATCAACTTAAGATAAATCTGAATGACCAATTTTTGGCCAATGTTAACATCAAACGAGAAGTATCCGCGTCAAGCAAGAGAAGGAATAATGGTGAAGATAGACCAACAGGCTCAGCTACATTTTGCTTGAAAAAGGAGTGGATCGATGATTTGTTGAATATTTTGTTTGGGCACTTACATATTTATTTAAAACTGTGCCTTACGTTTTTGCTAAACTACGAGCTGGGTCTGTAATAATTAACTCTGTTTTGCATTGTTCAAGTTGTAGGCATGAACAATTATCGACCTAAGACTTATATTTCACATCAAAACCTATTTTTCTATGTTAGATTTTGCAATGTCAATTTTGCAGGGTTAAAGGACTCCTAAGGATGCATTAGCATATGGCAGAAGGGCACCTACGAAACGGAAAGGAGACCATGATATGGAGGAACGAAGACAGAAGAGAGTAGTCCAGAGGGCCTTGATTGATATAGAAATTCTAGGCAGCAATTATTTCTTATTAGTGAGAGTTGTAATTGTTTTGATTATAAATAAAACACAATTAAGTTATGAGTTTAAATATGGTTTTGTGCTACTTAAAGTTCAAGTATTTTCGAAAAATACTATATAGCACTATAGTTTAAACAACAAACCTACAAAAAAAAGTATCTGATGAAAAAATGTGTTTGCTGGCTAAGTTTAACCGAATGGTGAAAAACGAAGTGGGAAGTAGTATAATTTATAAGGATTAAAAAATAAGTTTCAGATTAAAAAAGATTTATTAAATCTAATCTAAATTTGAATAATATTTTGAAAAAATGTTCACTATAAACATGTCATCTAATTTATGTGATGAAAATTTACTAACAAAAAAGTTAGTACAAAAAAGCATACTAACAAAAATGTTAGTTCAAATTTTTGTTAATACAGATTAAAAAAGATTTATCAAATTTAATCTAAATTCGAAATACATATTTCGAAAATATGTTCCCTAAAAACATGTCATCTAATTTATGTTATGAAAATTTACTAACAAAAATGTTAGTACAAAAAAGTGTACTAACAAAAATGTTAGTACAAAAAACTATCACTTGAATTATTTGCTGCCTAAAATGAAAAAATTAGGGCTGGATTAATTGTTGGTGTGGAAACAATCCTACGCCTTAGACTGTAGTGTTACAATTCATTTCTTCGACTATATTGACTACAGTCAAAGGAAACGGTAACATATTGTAACTTTTTAATTTAAACCAAAACTTTTGCAGTGAAATATCAAGATTTTGGTTAAACAAAGAAATAACATATATGCACTTATAAAACGCAACTGAAATAAGCATTAAAAATGTTGGTCAATGAAATAACTTATATACAATTAAAAATTAGCATTTGAAAAATAAGCATTATTGCTGATATAATTTTAAGTTGTGTATCACGAAAATAGGTGACATATATTAGTTAGTTTACATATTTTGAGCACATTGGATGTTGGCCTCATTTTGTTATAAAAATACACAAATATTAGTATACTTCTCTAACATGCAGGCCTTAAAAGAGTTCAAAATATATTATGTAATATTGTAAGAAACAGTTAATTAAATTATTAAATTTTATAATACATACTAAATAATATTAATATAATCTTTTTATGAAATTAAAAAAATAAGTAATGTGAGTACACTTCAATATAACGGAAATATAAATCTATTATACTCAGTTTTTTAATTTTGAGAATCGAGAATAGAAATTGATTTAAATAAAGCTGAAGAGTTGTGGGGATCCCCAAGGTTGCATTAAATATAAACAGAGCTTAGAATAGAATTTTCGAAAAGAGGTGGAAAGAACTCACAGTTAATATACCATATATGGAGAAAGTGGTGGGTTCCAAGGCACAATAAATAATAGGTCACAATCATAGTAAATGCTGACAGAAATTGCTACTTACCATTGGTATTTGACCATCTTGACATTGTAGAAGAATAAATAGTCATTAATGCTACAACCACTACCTCATAAATTCATTTATGAGACACACCAAACATTCCAAGGAGAGAGGCCAACCAAGGAGTGAAGTTCATGTATGACACCACATTGAATCCTCATAATCCAGTGTAAGTGATATATCATATTTTCTATTTTCATATCAAAAAAATGTTTATGCACATACAATGAACCATTTAACGAAATAAGCAGATGAAATTCACGTGATATGTATATACAATGAATCATAGATGCAAAAATCATATGAATGTATTGTGCAAATTCTTTGAACTAAAAATCAAATGATATGCATGACAGATAGTAACTTATGATAAAAATATCATGAACCATATAACCAAATTATGCATCATGTGGATAAATGTGTATTTGCATATATATGTTCCATTCAAGCCATTCACACGAGTGTTTATGTCAAATATATGCAACTGGGGTGCTATAAGTGTCATTAAGGTATGTTTACAGATGACATGTCATACAAAATGTTTATGAATGTATTATGCAAATACTTTGAAGCATGTACGCACATACATAAATCACACGTTAGGCAATACATTTATGATTGTATTATGCAAATATTATGAACCATAAAACCAAATAGATAAAACTAGACATATGTTGCATTCTATGTATTCAAAATGAGTGAATATTCATGTGAAGCATATTCAACTGGGGGGTGCTATACGTATGTGAATGTATTATGCGAATACTATGAAGTTCATGAAAGCATATTCATAACCTATGTTCCATTCTAGCTATTCAAGATGAGTGAAAGTTCATGTCAAGTTGTTTCAACTGGGGGTGTTATACGTGTGGAAAAAGGGAAGTTGGCATTTTACTGGATGCATGCACATGGTGTGATTCAAACTATAGTCATTATTTCTGCATGAGGCAAATAAAGAAGAACATAAAGTATATGGAATACTTATGCAAAGATTGTTCAGCATGGGTAGATGCACCAACTACGATTCCAAGGAAATCTGATCGGATAATACACCTAAACAGCAAGTACTTTAATGCAGATATGGTGGTAGGCATGTCATTTGAGTGGATGAATAGAAAGCACATTGCCTAACAATTGCAACATAAATCATTTGTAACATGTGTGACATATACATTTATGGTTATCATTTGTAACAAGCATGAGATATGCATTTATGGTTATGTGTGGATGTGAATCATAAGTGATGTGTTCAATGAATAGCATTTTGCATGAAATGATAATGATAAACTCTATATGTATTATTCACATGCAAGTTATGTGATTAGTGTATGATAGCATAGGTAATGTGTGCGACGATAGGTTAATTTAGTAATACAAAATATTTTTTATAATGATAATTCCAAAAAAATACAACTGCTACAATGCATAAATTGCATCTATGTGACCAATCCAGGTAACGTAGGAGTACCAATTTTAAGTATGAGGAGACTCACAAAGTCCACAGTAATCAACCGTAAAAGGGCAAACGAAGATCTAGCTAACAAAGGTATGGTCAAAGCAAATAATGTTTAAGTTTAATCTAAAAAATTAATAAAGTTGCATATTTTTAATACGAAGTAGTACACTCATATACAAAAACAAGTATTTGGGCAATTTATTTAGTTAAAACAGGGTACCTGACTATTTAGTGAAAACAGGTCCATTTAAGTAAATGAGCTGCCAGACCACGCAGATCCGAAGGCCAAACTCTGGCTGGCAGGGAATCTGGCTAGCTCATGATCAAGAGTTAAATCACAGAACAAATAGACAGACAGATTAAGACGTAGAGATAAGCGCAAGATTTATGCATATCAGTAAGACGTAAGCAGAATATGTTGACAGAATATAGTTTAAGACATATACGCATCACAACTTCATGGATCTATAGATCTCACGAAACAAATGGTATATGCCTTCTAAAAATGTTCGTGCCCACGATATTAAACAGTCCCAATATCAGATTGTATAAACTGATGTTGTAAAGACATGTACGCATCACAAATGCTTAGATCTAGACAGATCTAAAGCAACAAATGCTACATATCTTATTTTCAAACATGTAAGAACGAAAAATTTATAAATGGGTTTTTTCCTTCAATATTATCAAATTGAAGCTAACTTCCAAAAATATGACCATTTTTATAAACGGACAAAAATGTGACCAAGAAGGTCACATATTTGGAAAAATACAATGGTATGCCATTTTTTTATGTCACTGTCATTTTTTATGTCACTATCATAATGTCACTATCACATTTTGATTTCACTTTTGAATTTCACTACCGCCACTGCCGGTGTCACTGACGCCACCGCTGGTGTCACTAACACCACCGCCATGTCACTGACGGGATGTCACTTTGATCATCGAGGAATTTTCCGGCGAATTTTTCCGTCAAAAACATAAATTTTAACCAACGGTCCAAACCCATTACGCCGGCACAGGTGCCCACCGCCCCCACCTGCACCGTCCCCAGCTACCCCAACCCCTCCCCTCCCCTCCAGCCCCACTACCTCCCACCACCAGACCTCATCCCCGTCCCCAGCGTCACCCAACCCCCAGCCAGCATCCGCCCAGCCCCCACTACCCCCTCTGACCCCCTGCCACCTCCCCATCCCCCAATCCCCCTCCCCCAGCCCCCAGCCCGACCGCCAGCTTCACCACCCCATCTCTCTCGCCCCAGTCTCATCTCCTCTTCCATGTCACCCAAATCCCGGACCACCGCTCCCCCACCACTCCCCCAGCCACTGCAGATCTGGAAAGCAGAAGCAGAGCAGGTCTATGCATAGGTCCAGACCAGGCAACTTCAAGCAATTTGTGTTAAAATCGGATTCGTCGCCCCCAATCCACTCCTCACAGCCCCACCTTTGACAGCCCAACTCTGATTTGACCACCCACCAAAGAACCCTAGTTGTCGCCCTCCTCAGATCTGGCCTCTTTCTGGTAGACAAAGTTAAAGGAGGCGCGGCGAGGCGGCGAGGTGAGGCTAGGCGGCGTCCTGTGCGGCGAGGTAGGCTGGGGAAGCTCTTTGGCTGCGACTATCGAGTTGCAGACGAGAAGAAGTGAGAAGAAGAAGAGTGGTGGCGAAGGGAAGGAGAGATGCAACATTGTTGTTGTTGACGGCATCGATGAAGTCGGAAAACGCAGATGAGTGCGGTGAGAAGAAGTGCAACGGTGTCTCATGGCGTCGGCGGCTCTATCTCACGGCGTCGGAAGCTGGCGTCTGGCTCTATCTCTGAAGCTTGTGGAACAGAGATGATGGTGAAGGCGCCTCTGGTCTGGAACGGAAATATGATGGTGAAGGGACTGGAGCATTTGCGGAGGCTTTTCAATTTTAAATCACTTTTTTGTCTTTTCAGAAACCAATCATATTTTTGTCTATTCAAACTCTAGGAGTAACATTTAAGCCATTATTTCTTTATAAATATAGACCCATACGTAGTACCATTTCGTGATACTGGGTGACTGAATATTTCACTGCGAAGAAATCTCAGTATACCCCTTAGTCACGACAAAATCAAAACGAAAAACTTATGTATAAACCTGTACGAACCACAGAGTCATTGATCCTTACAGATCTAAATTCCAAATAATGTTAGGTCTCGGAGATTCAGACATGCACCAACAACATATCCATAGATCTACAAAGATCTGTAACAGGTTGTACGTGCAGTGGAAGTTTTTAAAAAAATTACCAGACTAATTTTGAAAAAACAGTGAGAACTGAG